GCCATGGCCCCTAGCCAGTGCGGGCAGCCCTGGCTGGCAGGCAGCGGCCGTGGCACTGCCTTCCCACGCATCCCGCGGGGATGTGGGCTGCAGAGAGCAGAGCCCGGGGAACCGCGGGAGAGGGCAGGGGAGGTTAGGAAAACACCCATTAAACCACATTAACATTTCATGACCCGATCGGAGGAGAGTAAATTACCCCGTTCAAATCCAGCGACCATGAAAAAGCAAATGACATCGTGGGGTTATTAATTAATTGAGAGATGCTGGGGTGGGAGGGGGGGCTGGACCAAATCCATAGAGTTACAGTGCTGATACCTCTGAGCGTTATGGGCCAGGACTCGCGTTTCCCATGGACCTGTTTCCTACAGGATGGGGCTGGGAGGGAGCAGAACTGGACCCGCTGACTGCTGCCTGGCAGGACGGAGCTGGTGGGAGCTATGGTGGCAGTGGGCGCCGGGACAGCTCTAACAGGGTTGAAGCCAGGCACCCTGTGCCTACCCCAACACCAGCACGGGTGCTGAGGGGGTGGCTGCCCACCTACCCGTGACCCAAACATCCGCACCGCTCCAGAGGATGCCACCGAGACCTGTGGCTTACACCCCAGAGAGGGATCTGGCCCCATCCACTGGCATTCAAACCTCCTTTTCATCTGCTGTGCATCCTCCCAGCCCCAGTACACCTTCTGGGAGCGCAATGGGAAGCTGCTGCTTTCCAGCCTGTTTCTGTAGGGACGGAAGGCGGCTGTTCTGGCCAGCTGCTGGTGGCCCCATCACATCCCATCAGCCACCGTGTCCCCTCTGTGTCTTCTCTGCAGTTGATTTGACCTCAAGAACTACTCAGGCCCAGGTACATCAGGTGCTTTTAAACCCTGCTTGAGGCAGGATCTGCGCTGCTGGATGCTCTAGAGGATGAGCATCCCCTGGTGCGAGGGGCTGGCTGCTCGCTGGGAGGCCTCCACTGCAGGCAGGAGTCTGAGGACAGCACGGAGCTCTCCTGGCTCAACGTCAGATGATTTTAAAGGAGCTGTTTTGTTCAGGCTGCAGAAACTCCTCTCCCCAGGAGCGCAGCCAGCACTGCCGGAGAACTGGTTGGATAACTCAACGGGTCTGTGCGATCAGAGACACGAGCTAAATGGATGTGAGCCAGGTTTCTACGAGCACTTGGGAAGCTGGGTGCGAGCAGGAGTTTAATTAAAGCAAGGCAATCACATCAAAGCTGGTCCCTGCGCAGATACCCTTCTTAACTTGCAAGAATTAATTAATGAGTTTGAGTTAAACCTGTTCCCTCTTGATTGAAGCGCAGCCTGATGGAGCTGGTGGCAGTGCCTGTCGGCGCTCAGCAGGTACTGCACCGGTGCCCGGGTCTGCGGTGGGTTTGCACCAGGTGAAAGCAGAGCTGGGACCTGCTCAGCTGATGTGGGCTAACTCATTTGGGTACCCAAACCCCAGCCCCAGCAGCCTGGCTGAGCCCCGGGTAACAGAGGATGAGCTCCCCAGCGGGTATAAATGAGGGCACACCCCCCCCACACACCAAAGCTGGGTATGATCGCTTTGCATCCCTGGGAGGTTTGGTTCAGGAGAAGCTGCTCCCTTGCTGCTGGTTTTGAAGGGGTGCCTTTACTTTTGAGTGCAGATCGCAGCAGGAGCCTCCTAAGGAGGGGAAAAGCAAGCTAGCAGCTTCCCAGCATCAGCCTGGCTGTGGGCAGGAGGAAGGTGGAGGCGGGTCCAGCTCTGCCAGTATCAGGGGCAGCTTTGACGATAAAGCAGAGGGGTTTGGAGCAGAGGGAGAGCTGGGCGGCTGCTTGTGGAGGAGGGATGGGGGATGAAGCGTGGGCTTGGACATCACACAGGTAAGCGAGGGATGCGGCCTCCCTGGTGCCCAGCTGCAATTCCTGTCTTTGCTTCGCCCCAGGTGAAAAGTTGGGCTGTAGAGCAACTTTTCCTGGTCAAGCTTCATCTTCAGGGCTTCACCAGAAGGAAGAGGAGTGGTCCAAGAGACACCACATGCAGGGTAATGTGATTGCCCCTGTTTAATGCCCCATCCCCACGGCAGCAAGCAGAGATGAGCAGGGTGCGTGCCCCCATCGCTTCACCCTGCTGGGAAAATCAAGCCGGGATGGAGCATCATCCCTGGGTGGCAGCAGGGGATGAGTCCCATCAGGCTCCAAAGTGACCCGGAGAAGAGCTGTGAGCTGCCTCTGGGATGGAGCCGGCAGCAGCGAGCCAGAGCCAGCGCTGCTCACCCCAGCCCGCGTTTCTGAAGCTTATTGCAGGGAAGTGTTTTCCCTCTGGTTCAGTAAATTGTGATTGCAGCGTGCCTTGCCAGAGCAGCTTTGGTTTTAAGCAAACACTTTGGGTGAAGCCCTGGCTCTGCTGACGTCAATGCCCGAATTCCCCCGGTGTCGGTGCCATCCAGAACCGCCTCTAAGTCCTTCCCAAAAGTTGCTTTTGTGCTTGAGCTTTTCGGTCATCCAGAACAAGGATCTTCGCAAGCCTCGTGTGTTTTTACTAGCAATAAACTCGCGGACCAGAAAAGTGTGTGAAATGTGTGGGAAGCACAGAAATGTGCCTACCTTTTTGTACTGTTTTAAAAGAGCCCTCAAGAAGGCTATTTAGTAAAACTTCCTAATGATTCCATTTAGAGAAGGAAGTACTTAATATTTCATTTTTTTTATTGTAGGAAACACACTTGTTCAGCCCAACACTAGAGAGGAACGCATTTATTTTGCAGAAAAGCTTTTGTTTCTCTCTGGAAAGCATTTCCCTTGAATTCACTCTTAGCTCAATCGTTCGATTCCTTGAAAGCTGGCAGGGAAATAACTTGAGAGCGTTCCCCTGCTATTTCCAGATGAGCTGCTCTTTACAGGGTATGTAATCGTACGAACCCCCAGCCCTTTGCAGCAAACTGCAGCAGGTTTCCCACAGCAGCGCACGAACCGAGCGAGGAGATCGCAGCCCTGCCTGATGGCCTGGTACCGTCAGTCCTTGTAAATTCAGGTTAAGTGATGCTTTGGGTTAGAACTGTCTGATGCTTTGAGGCTGCGCGGGAATTGTTAAGCATCCTCCCTGCAGGTCTGGGTCTCCTGAAGGACTGGGGATAGTATTAGTGTGGTCCCAGACCTGCTTGATGTCCCTGTGGCCATTCTTCCCGTGGCCCTCGGCACGGCTCCTGCTCCAGCGCTTTGTGCCAGGGGGGCGATGCTCCTTCCCCCTCCCCTGGTTCCTATAACCCCGTGCACAAACGCACCCTTTGCAGGTTATTTAAAGCCGGGCGTCAGGTCTTTCCATCGCTTCTCCCATGCACCAGCTGCTCATCCCTGCTCGCTGCTGGCAGAGGTGAGTGGAAAATGCCTTGCGGGGATTTTCCTTGCACAGGGGAAGGTGCCCTGTGCCGAGGGGTGTCCCTGAGCCCTGGTGCTGCCAGAGAGGCATCAGCCTCAGGGCTAGCACTGGCCACTGCAAGGCAACCGCCCTCGGTTCTCTAAAGGGCTTGGGTAAGTTGGTTTTGCCTGTTGATGCCTTGGTTTCCCTTCAGAAGGGCTGTGGTGCCAACCCCCTGGCAGGGAAGGGCTGTTTTCCTTACGGACTGCAGCAGGCTGATGCCGCCTTTTTCCTGGTACCCGCAGCCCTCCACCGTTCCCAGCTGCATCCCGCTCCGGCTGTCCCGCGGGAGAGGGGTCCATCCGTCTCTCCCAGGGAAAAACCGTGCCCAGAGCATCTAATGCTCCTCGGGGCTCCTGCAGACATGCTCCGCTTGGCCACGGGTCAAAGGGGAGCTGGAAATGCCGGAGCCCCACGGCCCCGCATCCTGGGACCACCTTCTCTGGGCTGACGTGTCCCTTTTCCTTTGAAGTCACGCTGCAGCCTCAGCCTCTCCTTTGGGGAACGGGGCTCAGCAAAGCAGGCAGAGCCTGCGGGATGCCCGGGAAGGGAATTTATGTCCGATGGCTCTCTGCCAGGCTTTCTCTCACATCGCTGCGGTTCCTGGGCTGGGCTGCTGCCTCCTGACCTCTGCACCTCGCTGCAACCTGTGCCGGGGCACAAGGCTCCCCCGAGTGACGCAGCACCAGAACTCGGCGTGGGAAAAGACGTCAGGGCTGGGGGAGCGGGGCTGCGACCCGCGGGGCAGAGCCTCGGTGCCCGCCGAGGTCAGCCTTCCCCTGGCTCCAAACGCTGCAGCCAAAATCCCCCAGGGCAAGGAGACTTTGAAGCCCCAGTT